GTTGATCCGATGTTGGTCCACAATTTTTTTTTTTATTTGTCTAGGAAAACTTGTTGAGATCGGTTCCATGGACCCGCCCAAGAATCGGACCGGACCGACGGTCCCGGCTCTGGGCGGGTCCATGAAACCGACGGGCGGTTTCGCTCCAATTTTGGAACTGGCTCTATAATGGGAAGGTCCACTGGTTCCAGGGTGGGAACCGCCCACCCGGACCATGCACACCCCTAGTTTCGCCGACGGTAGTCAGGAATTCGTGGCTGACGGAACATCAGGTGGTGGGGATGATGATTGGCCCCGACCGCTGAAACTGCGCCACCTGTCGCCACGATATGTGTCGGGCTGGACGGACAACCCGGACCACAGGAAGGAGTGGTCGGACATCGTTTAACCAAAGTCCCATGAACAAGAAAAAAAAATGGGTATCCGTATGATGATTGGTTCTATCCTCGTACTAAGGGAAGAAGCAACAAGAAAAAAAAATTAAAAAAATAAAGATAAAAAAAATGGGTGGACGGAGACTCATCTTATCTCTTGGTCAGCGGGTGCTCTCTTTCTTTGGGGCCCGACGTTGGACCTTTTGTTGGATTTGCTCTTCGTTTTCGCCTTTGTAGCCAAGTTCTGAATTTCCTTCCCGCATAGAAAGATGATAAATGACGATTCACGTGAAATCGAACACATTGCCAAGTCGACGTTCTTTGCAGTGTATCGTGCGTGTGTGTGCATTTCGATGTCGATCGATTCACATTCATGTACCGTCATTTTCATCAATATGTAAATAATCAATTTCCCCTTTCTCACCTGTTCTTTTGAAATGTATTACTCAATTTGGCTTGAACACCACATGTTCTTTGATCGTTATCGATATGAATATATATATGTGTGTGCGCGTGCTTGGATTATGCTGCGTTTTGTGATCGTTACCATGTAAATTCGATCTAAGTTGCCATTGGCTTGGCCTCGCGAGATAGTGTCGTTGCATCGATTATTGGGTCGTAGCGCCATGAGATCGTAGGGCTCGACTTATCGTGCCTGCATCTCCCGTCACGAGATGACACGTGCATTGCGCGAAAGGTTTTTGTGATCCGTAGGCACGTGGTAGTAGACCTATTCGATGGGCCTATTGGATTGGGCATTTGGCGTAAAACCCTTTTTCAAACCCAACCATTTGCACTTTGGACCAAGACAGGCTCATTGTTTTGTGCGAGTACAAACTCGCTGTTAAAATATGTCTCGAGTTTGAGTCCGATAGACGAAATCCGACTCGAGATTAATTATTATTTGTGGAGGTCTCCATATTCCGAAGTTTGGATTTCCTACGCAAGTTCGGAATAATGCATGCAGTGTATGACAATTTTCGTTTACTAGTTGTTGGCGATTTTATTTCCAATTTGTAGTCCAAAGGATGTTGGACTTTGACTATGAAAGAAAGCAAATCGTGGTCAGAGAAAGGAAATAAAATCCCACTTGAAGTCTGCCAAAGAAAGACGAAATAGGAAAGTTCAAACTTGGACTTGTTGACCGAATCGTGGAATATCTTCTCCACATTAGGGGTGAGCCATTCCCGATTCGATTCGATCCAATCCAAAAATTGGGAACCAGATCGGGAGAGTCGGTTCCCAATTTCTAGGACTGGGGATCGGACCGGACCGGATTGGGTCCGGTCCGGTTCAGTTCCAATGGGACCAATCACTTATTAGTAAAGGCAAAAGGCAATTTGGGAAATTATATTAGGTTTTTTTTCAAAAATTTTAAAAAGTAAATAAATATATATATGAAAAAATTAGAACAATATATATTTATCGGTCCGGTCCGGTTCCCATCCTAGAACTGGGAACCAGACCACCCGGAAACCGGTTCCACTTTTAGGAATAAGGAACCAGACCGATATTCCCGAGAACCAGACCAAATCAGTCGGTCCGATCCCAGTTTGAGCGGTCCATCTTGCTCAACCCTACTCCACATTGAGTCGGCCACTATGTGTTCTTTTGCTGTGGAATATATATTGCAAGGAACGTCATGGCAGATGCAGTCTTGAAGCGCCCTAATGCGAGTGCTTGGTGTGCCGTGCAAGTGAACAAGAAGCATTGTTATTGTGCACGAAGAAGGAAGCGCCGCATTCGTGAGTGCTTGGCGATGGGTGTTTCCGTGGCTTCTCGTTCGTGAATTACATCCAAGAAGAATTAATGTTCAAGCGTAAATCCTGTGATAAGATTTGTGTATAATTCTTTTGCGAGATTAAGAGATTATTTCGTGAAGAATTGTGGGCTATACACTGCGTGAGTTATTGGGTGTAATTAGGGCTTGGGAAATACTGAGAGTGTTTAAGTGACTCGAGTGTGGTTATAATCTCCGCTGTATCGCTTGATCTATAGTGGAATTCCGTGCTGCTCTCCCCGTGGACTTAGGTCACTACGATCGAACCACGTAAATCTGGTGTCCGATTTATTTTCTTGTTCTGTCAATTTTGATTGTTCGATCGCTTGACTTCCGCAACACTCGCCGTACATGACCATGTTTTTTCTCTATCTCTGGTTGAAAGCAACTTTCTCAAATCAATCTTCTAGTTCGCAAATTACATATGGACGTAAATCGCTTTTTAAATTTAGTTAAGTTTGCACGTGGGCGAAGTCCATAACTTGTAACTCATCAATCAGATGCATAATTGAAGAAAAAATGCAGCCCTCATTTTACACCAATTCTGGCTTCACATCCTCTGTGTTATCAGCGCAACAGCGCAACGAGATATATGCTCCATTTTACTTAAACTCTACATCGACGTGGATGGATTTCACATGGGAAAATTATTCGAATAACATGTAAATGCATTCGGAAACCTCTCGTTTTATGGCGTATGCCGAGTGAAGTGTCGCGCATCGCGTACATGTATACGTATATCTTAGCTCCCTCTACTATAAAAACCCATGTATACGTATACATGGGTTTCGAAGTGTCCTCCACAAAATGCATCCGCTGCAAAATGGATTCCAGAACGGAACGTGGAACTCGATTTGCAGTTTGAACTCCGAAGGCGTCCCCCGGCCAAAGCGAAGAAGGAAGACGGAGCAAACGATGGTGGGAACAGCAGAGGATGAAGTCACCACTGACTGCCCACGTCAGCGCTGAGCTAAGGACTTCTTCCCCGAGAGGACCCGCGGCCGCGACGCGACGGAGACGGTTGGGCAGCGGCGGGGCCGGCCGGTCAACGCCTAGGGAGACCGCCGCGACGAAGACCCGGTTTCGCCAATGGGAGTAAGGATTCGTGGCTGAAGGAGCATCAGGTGGTGGGGATGATGATTAGCCCCCGGCCGCTGAAACTGCGCCACCTGTCGCCACGAGATGTGCCGGGCTGGACGGACAACCCGGGCCACAGGAAGGAGTGGTCGGACATCGTTTAACCAAAGTCCCATGAACAAACTTGAACACTGCGAGATCGATATCACGAATTTTTTTTCTTTTGCACCGACAAATATTTTAAAGGGATAGAGACGCAAATTGTTCTTAAATTTGGGTCCAATATATAATATGGTTTATGAATTTTTAGTTTGTTCAATGTGGTCTTTGAATTTTACCCTAATTTGCAATGTGAACCATGAATTTTTAGATTGTTCAACGTGATCCCTAGACTTTTTGTACTCAATTAAGTCCTTAGACTATATGAAAATGTTCGGTGTTGTCATTCTATTAATTCAAGTAAGTCTAATGACTTAATTGAACATATACCAAAAGTTCATGGATCAAATTGAACAATTTAAGAGTTCAAGAACCAAACATTGCACATTGGAGTAAAATTTAGGGGCTAAATTGTACAAATTAAAAGTTCATGGACCACATTGCACATTGGTTTAAAGTTCGTGTACCATTTGTGTCATTTTTCCAATTTTAAATTATTCCCATCGCGACATTAATAACCCAATTTTTTTGTGTTACCCAAACATCCAAACTATACACATGTGACGTCAATATCCGACTTTTAAAAAAAAAAAATTGGATTAACGATGTCATGGTAGGCAAGATTTCTAGTGATTTCACATGATTTGATTAGTGTTTCACCAAAAGACCGTCGGATGACAGCGTGATGACACGAGGCGCATTTTCCAGTGATCTGGCTATCATCCCAATTTGAAAATGTTTGTAGAAGATGATAGAAAAGCAGTTATATTGAGATTTTGCAACTTAAAAAATCTTGAGGGAGAGATATAAGTCAAGATTGCAGATTAGAGAGAGACTAGAGAGCTTGTTTGAATAATTTTTGAAATCCAAAATTAGTAGGGAGAGACTTTATGCTCTCATATATCGAAAATGCCCTCCTCTACGAAAGCCCATTAGTGACTTCTTTCTGCATTTGCTTGATTTCTTCCGCTTAAAACTGGTTTTGCCTCTCTTTCTCTAACCTTTGTCCTTTGTAATTCATGCATATATTGCATATTCAATGATAAATGGACATGTAGAAAAACTGCGCAATCAATTTCAAGGTCCCGCAATGACCGTGTAAACCATTTTTGCTGCCGAGCTACACTTAAAATTATCAAACGAATTTGCAAAAAGTGGCTAGGCAGCTCTTCTCAAGTAACTGAAAAAAAGAAAGCATGATATCTCCAGAACTATAGAGCAAAGAAGAACCCATTTCGCGGTTGTCGAAGAGAGATCCAAATGGTGTTATTATGTGAATATGCCAAGCGACTATGCTAGCAAAACAAGACTAGTTGGGGATAGTTCCGATTAAGGTCTCCTATATAATCGTATAATTTTACGAGTTAAGCGACCTGTCGAAGCTGCTCGGATTGAAAAATGAAGCGGATGTTTTTGAATGCACGATCTTATCCCCTCAAAAGCAGAAAACCTATTTAATTTTTTCGTTAAGATATTTTCTCTTGATATCTTCTCCGCAAACAAAGATTCGAAGTTGGTTATAGACCCTAAGAATCCCCTAAAAATCTTGAGGGATAGAGATATATCCACAGTCAAAATGCAGATTGGATAAAGTAAAGAGACCAGCTTTAAATAGGAAGTGAATGCCTGCTTCTCTATAAAGACCCAACAAGTGACTTCTTCTTCTTCTTCATTTCCTTGATTTAATCTTTCTTCTTCTGTTTCCCACTCTTGCATTTGCCTCTGCACTTACATGTTTGATGAACAGTAGATACAGACTGTAGCTTAAGCAATATGGCAGGCGGTGGTCTCGTTACCGGTCCCGGAAAGAACTATCCGGGCAATCTCACGTGCAGGGTTTTCATCACCTGCATCGTCGCCGCGACCGGGGGTTTGATCTTCGGCTATGATCTCGGCATATCAGGTCTCTCTTCTTTCTCTCTTTGACTCCTGATGAAGTGTGGAAGTTCTTGCGTATTAGATTATTTTGCGCAATGAAGTTTTTTAGTGTCGATGGTGAATGAACGTAGCTCAACCTCTGTGCCAAAAGATTATCACCGGTTAGATTGGTAAACAGCGAACGATTTGCTCATTATAGATTGAGATAAGTTGAAAAATCTGAAATTTCTTCGCCAGCTTCTTTAGTCATGTCTCTCGACCTTGCGCCATTACCAAACTCACAAAACAAAGTGTGATGTTATTAATATTGGAGGTGAAGTCTATATTTTTTCAGATTATTACAACAACAACAGCATGAGTGTGTTTAACTAAATGTTCTAATGTATGTCGAGTGCTACTAGTTTTTGATACGATGCATTGCAGGTGGAGTGACGTCGATGGACTCCTTCTTGAAGGAGTTCTTCCCGTCGGTCTACCAGAAGGAGTCGTCCGTGAAGCCATCGGACGATCAGTACTGCAAATTCAACAGCCAGATCCTGACCCTGTTCACCTCATCGC